GTGCCCTTTGGGCACACACCTCGCTGAGCCCCAGCTTACTGGAGAGCCAGGAGCACCAGGGCCAGTGATTCCAGGCCGAGAACGGCCTGAGCCCTGGTGGAACAGAGGGAGAATCTGGACTCGGAGGAAAAACACCCGCGCCTCTCACTCTACCATCAGATGTGCACCCTTTTCTCTTAAGAAATGTTGGCTCATCAGGCTTGAAGCTGACTGGCAAAGAAAAGGTACAAATGGTGTCTGCTACATATCCACCAGAAGGATGGACCAGGGGACAAGGAACCCTGCGAACACATGGAGACTTTACATCCACCATCCCCTCCGACTTGCTCTGTTGAAAGTAATTAAAACAACAAAACACAAAACCCTGTCTCTATAACACATAAAAATATAACATGCCCTCCATGCTAAAAATGGAGGCAACATCTCACATGTTAGGTGGGAGGGGCTCCTTAAACCAAGTCACATCCGGCCTATACAATGTCTGCCCTCTGTTCGCTCTGTGTGTGTGTGTGTGTGTGTGTGTGTGTATGTGTTAGACACACATGTGAAAGCTCGCTTACCTAGTGAGCACATGTAGAAATTAAAGGTTGTCACTGGGATGTTTTCCTCATTTTTCCACATTTTTTATTTATCATTTATTTATTCTTGAGGCAAGGGTTCTCAGTGAGCCTGAAGCTTGCTGTTTCAGCAAGACTGGCTGTGCAGCAAGCCTCTGGGATCCTTCTGTCTCTCTTCCCACCATACACACACCCCGGAGTTACTGGATGATCTGCTGTGCCCAGCTGTTAAATGGGTTCTGGGATCAAGACTCAGGTCCCATGCTTATATAAAAGTTCTCTATCCACAGAGCCATCTATCCAGTCCTGTTCTGTGTTTTGTTTTTAGTTAATATGAACTGAGGTTCCTGAGGAGGGGTGGGGGGAGGGTTTACCCGGCCCCCCACGTTAAAGACCCTGAAAAGCTGATAGACTGCTAAGAGCATCTGGTTGTGGAGGTGAGAACACTGTAGGTCCAGAGCCTGGCAACAACTTCTCTTGATCTTCAGCCCCTCCAGAGCTACCCCTGTGTAGGCCTAACTTCCTGTAACCACCAAGCAAGGCTTCATGTGCTAGAAGAGCACTGGCTCTCGATGACCCAAAGCCTACATCATGACATCCTCCCCTTCGAGGTAACAAACCCACCTGATGTTTCAGCAATATATTTGAAAACTATCTTGATTTATGATTCTCTTTACTCCATTACAATAAAAACTTCATAAAACAGGGAGCCAGAGAGGTGCCTCGGCGGTTAAAAGCACTGGTTGTTCTGCCAGAGGACCTGGGTTCAATTCTCGGCATCCACATGGCAGCAGACAACCACCCGCAACTACAGTTCCAGAGAATCTGGCGCCCTCTTCCGGCCTCCATGGCCTTCATGGGCACCAGGAACACCAGTGCTGCACAGGAGCCCATGCAGATAAAACACCCACACACATAAAACAAAAATAAAAATGAGAAGGAAACACAACTGGAAGTGTTACCGTTGGAACACGGTGTTTGAGGGAACGTGGATCTGGGCTTTGAGGCCAGTGTCGCCAGAATAAACTATCAGTGACAGCTGTTTGTGTCAACATTAGCATAAAACAGTGGGTTTCGTTGTCATTTTCGTGCAGATACGCCATTATGAAATGGGGACTTAACGCTGCTGTTGTTAAAATGCGTGACTCCTCACTTGGGCCCCGCACTGGCTAGTTTTATGTCAACTTGACACAAGTCACCTGAGAGGAGAAAACCTCAATTGAGAAAAGCTTCTCAATTTTCTTTTTCCTTACTCTGTTTTTAACAAAAGCAGCTTTAAGTCCCCAATTCATAATGATACATTTGCAGGAAAATGTCACAATGAAACCCCTTGTTTTATTCTAATGTTGACACAAACAACTCTCACCTTAAAGATAATCAGTTTACTCTGGGTGCCAGTATGAGTGCTTTTATAAGAATGCTTCTATGAGAATGGACTGTAGGCAGGCCTGTGGGGCATTTTCTTAATTAATGATTGATGGGGGAGGGCCCAGCCCATAGTCAGCAGCACTCTTTGTGGCTTCCACATCAGCTCCTGCCTCCAGGTTCCTGGCCTGGCTTCCTCTGGTGATGCACCATAGTGTGAGAATATAAGCAAGATAAACCCTTTCCTCCCCATGTTGCTTCTGGCCATGGCTTTTATCACTGCACAGTGCCCCTAACTAGGACAGGCCCCAAGGAACTGAATACAGGATGAGAGCCTAGAGTCCCTACCTCTCTATGTCAGCTCTTTGGCTGAAGGCACAGAAATAAGTCTGTGTCCTTAACTTTTCCTGTTCATGGTGGGAAAGCCATTAACAGGAAACCAGAAAAGTGAACAAGGAATTCTCAAAAGCACGATCCAAAGTGCCACCAGGAAGTGCTATGACCAGATGCTGCTGCGCTGCACCCTATAGCCAGAGCCTCTGCCAGGACCAAACTAACCAGGAAGGCCTTTTTATATTTGCACAGCGAAGGCTGCGTGCTGGAAACTGGTCCAGTGACTCATCCCGCCCTCCGGGACCTCACACCAGCAGGCTGCACGGCCTTCGTTCATGGGCAGGGATAAGTGCACACAAAGAAAGCCACCTTAACCAAACAGGCAGTTCTCCAGAATGGGGAGCCACCCCAGGCCCAGCCCCCAGCTCCCTCCCAGACCCCGGCCTCACACAGCAGGCAAGCTCTAGTGCTCTAGTTACCCAGCCGTATGTTCCCTGAAGGACATTCAGTAAGCCTGTTTCCCTTCTGTGCTGGTCTGAAGGGTGAATTGGTTACTTTTCTTATTGCTGTGGCCAAAAACCTATAAAAGCAGCTTAAAGGAAAGGGCTGGGTTTCACTCACTGATTTTTAGATTTATTTATTTCATTGTCTCTATGCGAGCGTTTTGCTCTCATGTCTGCACACTGCATGCACATCTGGAACCCCCACAGAGGTCAAAAGAGGGCACTGGATCCATTAGCCACAAGGTGAGCGCTAAGGATTGAACCCTCGCCCTGAGTGAGAACCACATCTGTGAAGCCCCCATGTATGGATACAGTTCATCCTGGGAGGCAGGCTGACAGGGGCTTGGGCACAGTCAGGACTCTGGGAGGGATGAACACTGGGGCCCAGCTTCTTTTTCTCAGTCCAAGACTCCAGCCCATGAAACAGAGCCATGCACATTTAGGGTGGGCCTCCTCCTTTCCTGAAACTGTAGACACAAACAGTTGTGTACCAGGGAAATCCTAAATCCTTTTATGTTTACAGGTAATATGAACCTTCACGATTTGTCCTCTAAATGTGTTTACTGGGAGTGGGTGATCTCCCCTGCTGGGACTAACAAACCACAGGCTCCTACTCCACAGTTCTAATGACAACTGTGCTCTGCTCACATTCACCCACATTACCTCCTTGACCCTCTTCCTCATCTCTGGTTCCTAAGCGCTCTACCTCTTTCTCCTTCCCAGAAAGATATTATCTATGGTTTGTCTCGTGGTTCTCTACAATTGCAATGGAGAAAATGTGTGCTTTCTCTCTCCAGCCCAGCCATGCTGTAAAGAGATGTGTCTTCCTTAACCAATCCTGTTTCCTAACTTCCTGTAAAAACAAGGAAATCAAGGCCCTGCATCTTGGGAACAGCAGCTCAGAACCCTTTGTCCTCTCATGAAATACAGCACTCCCTGTGCCTTTGTTCCTACTAAAGGCTGCTGAGCCAGGTAAAGCTAACATTAAATAAACGTATTACTTTTCCCCTAGCACACTGATCTCAGCCATGACCCAGAGATGGAGGTGATGTCAACAAGAATTCCTAGAAAGAAGCTGCGCCTTTAAAGACAGGCTGATCAGAGCTGCATCGATGTGGAAATGTTGACATTTACAGGCTGAGGGACTAATTACCCTATCCTGGGCTAGCTTCAGTCCTGTGGACAGCCAGTCGTTGCTCACCTCAGTCTTAACATCCTGTGACATACACATCTTTGGAACCTATTAACTTAACAGATCAGTAGCTTCCACTAACTCAAAAGCAAAGAATGCCATCAGATAGCATGTTGAAGCTGCCTTGCAGATGTGCCCACCAATGCATTATAAACTGGCCTCAACTTATGGCTTTCTTTGTCTTGTAAAACAATGGAACTACTTTCACACTGGGATATAGAATTGGGGTAACCTAAATCGGTATACCTGGGCCATGGTCATACAAATTAGGTTCCAGAATAAACTCCCTTTGATTCCAAGGTGGAAGTTGTGCTTTTTCATTAACAATGACAAAAGAAATAATTTCTTCTACCCCACCACACAAACATTTCTATTACCAGGGAAACGGTGTCTCTTCAGGGGTTCTTACTTCCGTTAGTAAAAGACTCGAAAGGAGGCTGGAGGACAATTTTATTAATGTTTATGAGAAAAGAAAGCACAGTTGAGGTAGAAATCCTGTCAGCCCCCAGGAGGAGAGTGTGGGAAAGGTCACACCCTTTCCAGGTAGTCCTGGAATAGAAATAGCTTATTCAGAAAGAAAAAAAGCACTTGAAGAATGGAAGTGGGCTAGTGAGCCCCCAAAGAGCAGTCACATAGGCATTCTCTTTCCTAGCCTCCCTCCTCTCTCACCCTGTGTGGGTTCTGAGGGCAGCATTCAGTGCATGCTCTGTGAGAGGACGCCAGGGTGGGGAAGGGCTTCCAGCCCTCCTCTGCTAACTGGCTTCTTGCGTGTTAGTCTAGATGTAGCTGTGTTAGTTCTCATTCTCCTTTCACACTCTCCTGATGACTCACTCAGCCCTTCATCTCTTCCCTCAGTAAATACCTTCAGCTGAGGGCCCTCCCTGCTTGCTGAGGGCAGAATACAAATGAAGCAAAAGCCAGGCATGGCCCAACAGTCAGTGTGACCTTTGGATGGAATTTTCCAAAGCCCTCCACTCCCAGCAGCCTGGCACTTTCAGCACCTGTGTGGCACAGGGCCACTACGGTGCTGTTTTCTTTTCTTCTTTTTTTAATATGGAAGAAAGCTTCATAAATTTACATGTTAGTACAGGAGCCATGCTAACCTTCTCTGTGCCGTTCCAATTTGAGCATATGTGCTGTCAAAGGGAACACAGGGCTATTTTTTTAAGTACCCCGACTATTAAGAAGGAAGTGCCCATTGGTCTGGTTCTGCATCCATAAAGTAGAATCCCATATTTATTTTAGGATCCATAGCTCGACGTGTCTTTGAGCCCTTTCCTTGCCATCCACATGACCGCCACCATATCAAATGGGTTCCCTCTTACAACGCTGCACTCGGTGCTGTTAGCTCCCTCCATGCTCCCTTTCTGATTCCTGCCTGATAACTGACTCATGGATGGGAAAGAAGTGTGTGGTGAATGCTGAATGCCCGCTTACCCAGATCTAGAATTGCCTATACAGCAGACTTCCTAGACTGAGGTCGGGAGAACTACCCTGACTTCAGGCAGCTACGTTCCACGGGATTCAAACCAGCCACCTCACAGCCCCCCTGACACACCCTCCTCGCCATGGCGGACTGTACTTTAAATGGCAAGCCACACTCGATAAACCCTTCTTCATCTAGTTGCTTCTTGTTGAATGTTTGAGTACAGCAACAAGAAAAGTGATAGATGGATGGATGGATAACAGAAGCATTTTCTGGGCTGGAGAGATAGCTAAGCAGTTCAAAGCACTGACTACTCTTTCAGAGGACCTGAGTTTGGGTCCCAGCACCCGCGAGGTGGCCCACAATTATCTGTGATTCCTGTACTGGGAGGGTCCGAGGCTGTCTTCTGGCCTCTATGGACACTGCATGTATGTGTCACACAGACATACATGCAGGCAGAACATGCCTACATAGCTAAACAAACAATAAACTTTTTTAAAAAAGCATTCTTACTTCAATATTAACGATACAGCCTCTAGAATGCCTGGAATTAACATAGTCATCACTGCTAAGGCTTCACCGTGCTGGAGGATTCCTTTTGTACTTTGAGTCATAGATTACTTTCCTAGAATGTATATCTTATGAGTCAGGTTATAGGTCAGGACTTATGGAGCCCAAGGATACCTCAATGAAGCATTGACTCAGTGACCATAACATAAGCATTTTCCCCCTAATCTTTGCTATTTTGCTTTAATTCTTTCTCACTCAAGGAATTCCTATTTAGGACATAGTGTCCAGTTTTTGAACATGCACATCAGAGTTACTAGTTCTAAAAGAAAACCCACTACCAAGGCTTTTGAAGCAGATTTTTCCCACACTCGGGAATCCCACATAACTAATCTAAACTGTTTTGGGCAGCCCGCTTCAGGACAGCAAGATACTCAGAACACTTTTATAGTTTTTCCTCTAATGATCAGAGTTTATATTTTTCCATACTTTTGATTGTGGGGATATTGTGATTTTGATAAGAAGTGTCACCCCAAATACATGTGTGTTTAAAATTGTTCCCATATGGTAGCCTCAGTCACTGAGAAATGGTTGGATCCTGAGGACTCTGACCCAACCAGCAGGTTGATCCATGCACATATTCATAATGTTACTATATTACTGAGAGGTGGTAGAAATAAAAATACAGGGCTTCTTGGGGAAAATGGCTCCCTGAGGCAGCTTTTGCAGTGTATGCCTTGTTCCTGGCTCCCTCAGTTTGCCATCTGCCATGAGGCGGCAGCTCTGCTGTTCTGGACCCTCTTCACCTCCATCTACTGCTAGGAGTAGAGAAAGCTGATCATGCACCAGTGGTTTTCAGCCTTCCTAATGCTGAGACTCTTTAATACAGTTCCTGGTTTTGTGGTGACCCCCAACCATAAAATTGTTTATTTCATAACTGTAATTTTGCTACCGTTATGAATGCAATGTAAATATTTTTGGAGATAGAGGTTTGCCAAAGGACTTGAGACCCACAGGTTGAGAACCACTCCCATGAACCAAAGTCCCTAAAACTACAAGCCAAAATAAGATTTCCCTTCTTTTCTTTTCCTTTTTATTTATTTTTAATTTTTTGGTTTTTCTAGACAGGGTTTCTTTGTGTAGCCCCAGCAGTCCTGAAACTTACTGTGTAGACCAGGCTGTCCTCGAAATCACAGAAACCACCTGCCTCTGCCTCCCAAGTGCTGGTATTAAAGGTGTAAGCCACCACCACTGGCTTGAGTTCCTTTTTCTATTATGTTGTCATAGAAATAAAAGGCTAACATAAATAAAGATGATAATATACTCATACGCTGGAGAGATGGCGCAGCTGTTAAGAGCTCTGCTGCTCTTCCAGGAGACCTGGGTTCAATTCCCAGCACCCACATGGCAGCTCACAACTGTCTGCCACCCCCACAGAGATATACATGCAGGCTAAACACCAACGCACATAAAATAAAAATAAATAAATAACATACTCAAGCTGTGACATTTACCGCCCCAATCATGCTCAAGTATGTGACTGAGTGCTCTAGGAGCAGCACTGCGTAGTCATCAACACGGGCCATCTCTGGAACTTTCTCATCTCCTGAACTGAAGCCCCTCACCAATGTCCAGAAACTGCTTCCCACCATCAACTCTCTGTCTTTGAATCTGGCCCCTATGAGCCAGTGAACGGATTTCCTGTAGTTGACGTATATTACTGAACACAGTGTCTGCGTGTCAGTGGAACCCTTGCGTACAGACCAGGCTTCCTTTCGCCACCTTCCAAGGGATAAACTCTCTGACTGTTCCCATTTGGGGAACGTTGTGGAAAACTCTGCACTGTCCATGGACCCCTTCCAGTCTTCCCTGTCAGTTCTTTGGGGCATATGCTCACAAGCAGGACTGCAGAGTCACACCCATGCTCAACCTTAATGAGCTGCCACAGTCTCTCCACAGCACAGAACCATGTCCCATCCCCTCCTCTTTCCCCAGACTCCTGCTCATGCCTGTTTTGTTATAGTGACAGTTGTGTGGGTGTGTTTGTTTACTTGTTCTTATAGTAGTGAAAATCTAACCCAGGGCCTTGTACATGTAAAGCAGGGCTCTACCACTGAGCTTTATCCCCAACTCATTGGTGTCCTTTGCTTTTCTTCTCCTTTTTTAATAACAGGTATAAATTGACTATGTTTAGCTTTTGACATTCTTTATAAGTTACCTCATTCCAACCAAGCACTTTATTTTTTTTGTTGTTGTTGTTGTTCTATTTAAAAGTACTACAGGCATTTAAACAGTATAAATGAGCTAGTAAAATTATACATGCATAATCTGCCTCTATCCCAAGAAGAGGAGAGGTGAGGAAAGAGAGCCCGTATATGAATGCCGGCATCCTGGACCCCATGCCACACCCTGCCCTTGGCCACCTGTCCATCTTCACTGAGCCTGGCCACACCTCTCTGCTCTACCAGCTGGCAGACTGAATTATACAGTCACCATGACAACAGTAAATCCAGGCCAGCAACAACAGGATGTTATGCTTCTCATGACTCCCGTCAGCCACAGCAAACACCAGCTTGCAGCACTTGGGCAGCCTGCCTTGCCATGTCCTAGACCTAATTGCACTTGGAGAAGGTGTCAAATACTGTCTATTCCCACACACCAAGACCTGAATATCTATATTTACATTTAAATTGCTTTTCTTTCCCAAAGAATGGAAAGCTATTATCTTAATAATGTGCCTATCTCGAAGGTTAGAAAGGCAAGTTGGAGTTAGGGAAGAAAATAAACCCAAAGAATGATTGTGGCTTTCTTCCAGACTTGTTCACTTCTGAGGGAAGGGTGACAGTTGTGCCTGCCATGTGTGTTGTCATTAGTGCTACGTCTCTGGTTAGACCGAACACACAGCATGCATGCTTGTACATGTACAAACACACACACACACACACACACACACGCACACGCACACGCACACGCACACGCATGCACGCACATGCACGCACACACCTGTGTCCTTCATCATCAGAGCTTGGTGGGTCCAGGCTGACAAGATATTTTAAGATAACTGTTTAACGCTAGTTCCCAAAAAGCAGTACAAAGTACAGCCCAAGGAGTCTGGAGTCCTGCCAGCCAGGCCACATGGCTGGCAGGACCTACACCTGTCCTGGCCCTGCCCGTCACATTCTCTACAGAAATCTTTCCCAGAAAGCAAGCAAGAAGCAGGGCTATGGACGGCTGGCATCCTGCGCTCTTTCCTTCCTTCCCAGGGCCAGCTCCTGTCCCTCCCTGCTGGCTCTTGCTGCCAGCTCAGACACACAAGCACGACTTCACACCCTGAGACTCCTGACCTCTGCTCGTCCACAAGCGCTCGGCTTAGTGTTTCAGCACAAAGCTTGACACCCGCCCTCCAGGAACAGCTTGCCCTAGGCCTGTGCCCAAGGCTAGTGCCTTCTCTGCACACCAAGCAGCCCATAGGGCACCTGTGGCTAGGCAGGACCACGAGTACCAGGGGCACCCACGCCCGCTCAGAATCAGCGGTAGCCGCAGCGCGCTTCTCTTCCCCACTCATAAGCTGAAGGGAGAGGCAGGCAGTGCGATAAGCAGAAACGCAGTGTGCTTTGCCAGTGTGCCGTGGGTTCCCAGAGGCCCCTATGCATCTGGCCTCGCTCTGAAACACACAACTGTGACCTCCCAGCACTGTCTCCACCCCTCCTCCAGTTCAAACAGCAAACTGCTCAGAGCTTGACACCCAGAAAACAGACACAGAGGGTTTCTTCCTTTGAGAAGTCCTAGGCAGCTCCCTCCCTGTTGACAGCCACTCACCAACCCCTGGAGGAGCTGGCTCTAGGACGGGTTTCCTGTGAGATCAGCCTCAACACAGGAACACAGAAAACGCACAGGCATCAAGCGCAGGCTGAGTGTGCGGGGCAACGAAGGCCAGCGCTGAGGAAAGCCCGCACACTCGACTCACGCCCATCCTCTCTTGCTCACCACCAGAGTCCACCATCAGCAATGCTCCTGCCTCCTATGCAAAGCTTCTAGAAAACAGCCCTGCATACAGGCACTGAGGCTGACTGGCACTCAGACACACATCTGTGCATAAGGGCACTCTCTCTCCATCCATGGCATCCAACAAACAGCCCTGCAGCCCCTTTCAGAACACAGAGCCACCTAGGTATGGAAGCCACCCTCTAAGCCACAGCAGAAGGGACAAGTCCAGAGCCTCAGCAGCACCCCACGTAGAATCCACACTCACCGTTCACGCAGGCCTCTGCTGGTCCACACAGGCCATCCTCAAATAAGCAACCTGGATGAGAAAGAGAAGAGAAGGGGTCAGTGACAGTCGGTGGCCCCTGAGGCTTGCGACCCCCATGCAGGCTCCTTCCCTGTGCTTCTTCATGGTGGTGCCAGGTCATCCTGAAGCAACTGTAAGAGACTCTTGTATGATCTGGCCAACCTATCAGGAGGATTTGTGGCCTGTCCTGCGCCTTCAAGGTCACATCAGAGAGAGCCCATGTCCTGGGCGTGGTCATCTATTCGTACGTGGGTCCCTAGCCTCACACACAGCGTTGCTGGGCTGTCCACCCAGGGAAGTTCCAGGAGCCTGAGGCTGAGCTCACAGGTAGCAGCACCATGGGGCAGAAGTGTACACAACGTCAGAAATGGGCCAGACCTCTGGGCCTAACACAGCTTTGCACACAGGGAGGGACTCCCGAATCTGCCCTTCCCTGCCACGACTCTATGGAGACTCAGTTATGTGCTCCGGGAGGCCTCTGTGCTGTCGGTACCCACCGTGGCCAAGGACGGAGGAGGAAAGCACAGGCAGGCAACGAGAAACAGAGGACATGAAGAGCGGCAGAAGGATGGAGGCATGCAGAAGGGACTCTCCTCTAAACACAGAGGTGTTTGGCCTCTCTTGAAATAGGACGCTGAGTCTCCCAACAGGGAGCAGGGCAGCCATATGCAATCCATAGCCACACAGAGAAGGGATGGAGAGGCTGGGCGGGGGGGGGGGGCATGAGAGGACTCTATACTCAGATGACACCCCCCTTAGAGGCACAATGCTGTATTCACACCTGCCCCACTGACGTATTTCGATCCCCCGGAAGCTAGGAGTGCTCTGAACATACATGTCTTTCAACAACAAAGCCTAATGCCTTCCAGAGATGGTCAAACTTAATTGGTCAACAAAGAGCCACTCTAAAGTCCCCATGGTATTCTCCACAGAGGCCAGGCCAGTGAGCTCTGTCCATGTGACGGCACACGGGGCCTGCTCGGCCCTGCCACGAGCTTCAATGGTTATCCACTAAAGAGTGCACCACCCTCGGGGATGAGGTTCTTGGGGCCTTTGGACCTTCTGCCCATTCTTCCACAGCCGCCCTTGTGCCTGAGCGAGTGAGTGCAAGGCAGCTGACACACTGAGAGAAAACCTTTAATTACAAAGGAGTTGAACCCTTAACTCCTTCACACAAGCGCTGGCACTGATCCTTACAGCTGCAGCAACCAACGGCATTGAGCAACCACGGGGTGAGCGCCAAACCCGGCTGCGCAGACTGTGTGACGGCATTAGTCAGCACAAAGGCCACACAGCCCCACACTCACATGAGCCAGTGGCCTCTTCTCATCCTTATGACCACCCTATTGACACACCGGAAGAGAGCCACTGCTGGCAGGGTCCTTTGCTTAGGTGCCCGACTGTCCTAAGAGAACGCTGAGGGCACAGTGTCAGGTGAGCTGAGTCCACACAGTCAGCCAGCCCTGTGCAAATTACACTTGAGACTAACAAGCCAATCACAGCAGTCTCTACCCTAAGAGAGCCCATCTCTCAAAATGATAATCTCATGTAAAGCGGTATTGCATTTCTTAAGCGCATTTTTAGCGGATCAATATCAACCATTTCCCCCTGAAGCAACCCCGCCTCCTCTCGTCACTGCCCCTCCTCTACCCAGGGTCACTCCTTCATCTGTGAGCACTAGGTGGAGAGCGTTCAACGGAAGGGGAGCTGGGACCACAGACTTTTAGGGCCACGGGGCACAGCAGGTGAGAACTGGAAGCTGTAGGCCTCGGCGGCAAGCGGGCTCCCAAATGCAGTGACCTGGGGTGCTGGGCATGTGGCCTCTCTGGTGGCCGCATTGTGAGCTGTAAAATTAAGGCCGTGTCTGTCTGCTTCGGGGCTGTTCCCATCTGACTGCCAATATTTCTCTCACTGCAGTCCAGAAGAAAGAAGCCACAGGACACTCCCAGCTGCCTCTCTTCCCAGGGCACAGAGGTGACAGAGCAGCTTGGGCTGGAAGACAGGCTGAGGCGTGGGGTGCCGCCACTCGGCCCCAGCCCCCACTGCATGGCAATGAGTATGCAGCTCTGCTTAGCACCTCACAGTCCTCATCAAGTGCCCGAAGGATGACAGGGTCACAGGCACAGCTAAAGGCGCACAGCTGTCAGGGGCTGTGTTTGTCACATGATGTGGCACGCTCTAGAAAACACATAGGAAGGACGACTCTCCGTGGTGTCCTGTTTCTGCCTTACTCACAGCAGACAGAACAGATAGAGCAGAATGTGTACCACGTGTCGCTGTAAGTCTGGCTACAGCAAGGCAGCCTGGCCCTACTGTCGCCCAGCCTGAATCATCCAGGGGCCTGATGAGCCCACGCCTCAGAAAGACCTCCGGGAAGGGAACCAGGCAGCGAGAGTTCAAGTGACACGTTCCCAGAGGTGTGGGGTGTGTGGCTCAGGCCGCAAATTTAACTGGGACACTTAGTTCATTCACTGTGCTCCGCCCAGCCGTGGCCAGGCACACGTGGCCGGGGCAGGCCTGCAGGTTAGCGCAGCCCACCAGTCGGCAGCTCACAATCTACACCTAGAGCAACCGTCAGCCTGAGGCAGCAGCTGCTCCACAGAGAACACCCTCGAGAGCCATCTTCAAACTGCCGTACCCCGAGTTTAAAACTCCAGTTCCCAGGGCTGAGGGCAGAGCTCATGCTCAGTGGTAAAGCCCTGGATCCTATCTCCAGTGCTGAAACAAAACAAAACAACTAAACAAAACACCTGCCTTTCCTCAGTACTAACGCATTGTCTACTCTCCCATGAAACACATTCCAGAAATTCTCAGATGGCTCCTTTGGCTGAACACCCCAGAGCCAGGTGTGGAGCTCAGGGAATTCTTCCCACTTTATGTCCCCTAGGCTCCCACACGGTGGCACACGCTGAAAGCATGCACAGGTGGTCCCATGCACACACTTACATGAGTTCCTGTGTTTAGGTAGACGTGAGTACCTATGGGTATGCAGCCACATGGACATTCACATATGTGTGTACACACATACACGTAAATGAGTGATGTGTGCATGCCTGGACACACATGGACATTTAAATAACCATGTACATTCACGTACATACACACTTATATCTGCATGCACACATGTGTGCAGGAACTCACACATGTATGCGCACACATCTTACATACACTCTCATACCTATGTGCATAGCGCATGCACAAGCACGTGCACACACTGCGTATGTGCATGCATGTGCACTAACCCCGTGTGTACTCATGCATGTTGCTGGTCTTTCTAGCATTAATTTTAACATCCTCCGTTTCCTCAGAATACAAGTCTGTCCCCAGCCATCCTCTCAGATCTTTTGCTGCTGCTGTTTTCGGAAGGAAAACTGATCTAGTCCTTCTGCAAATACTCAGACCAGAACAGCTCTCCTGTCCTGTCCTTGTGAAACAGCAAGTAAGAGGTCACGACCTCCCGGCTGACCTAACTACCTGGCCCTTACTACCTAAGTGGCCCTGGCCCACGTGGCCCCACCCATGCCCACCTGAGAAGCACTCACCACTGCAGCACACACCTGCCCAGCTTCTTCCCAGTTCTAGGCCCATGACATCAGTGGAGAGACATGACCCCAGATGCAGGGATCCCTCCAGGAGAGGGAGCCAGAGTAACTACCTTCCTCCTCACTGTTTTGGCAAAGGCTCTGAGACTCATGCAAAAGTGCAATCAATAAGGACGTGATAGTTTTTCTTTTACTTGCAAGAATTAGAATATATCAGTGTAAAACTGAATTCTCTCACCAAAATAATAAAACATTTTCCCCCTCGGGCACGTCACATGAGCAGAATGGATGCTCTGAGTCTCCTGCAGAGCAGCTGGGCATTCTTAGAATCCCAGCTATGATTACCAAATTCTCATAACTGGGATCTGATAATTCTTTGAGATCATTTAGTATTGTAGCCAGATAAAACTTAGCAAACCCCATCTGGTGTGTGGCTCATGGAGCATGAGTTAATAATGAGTGTATTACTGTTTTCCCATGGTAGCAATCCACACATAACAAAGCATTCTCCCACATCGTTTCCTCCAATGTTTCCTCTTCGGAGCTCTCTGTGGCAGTGCCTCTACCCTCCTCTCTGCAGCTTGGTCCTCTTTGAGCTGCCCCTTACCTGGCAGGAGCAGCATGGACAGCAGACTGTGGCAGCTCTGGAGTCCATCGGCTGCCAGGCACGGTGAGTGAGGTTAAGCCTGCCTCTCAGCCACTGAGCTGCACCGCTGCTCAACGCTGTTAGTGAAGCACTAACCCAAAGCTGACTCTGAAGAAACACAAAGAGAGGATGGAAAATCCACCCAGACTGTAGAGCCTATTGGCTTTGACTCAAGGGCCCCAAGATAGGTGTCTGCAGTGAGCTGGTTTCTTTAAAAACGTTGTTCTGTTACGTGAATGTTTTTGTTTTATTCCCAGGTGTGCAATAAGAGGCTGCTTCTCAGCAGGTGATTATGATTTGCCTCGTGCACTAGCAGGGGCGTGATCTTTGCCAGCTGCAGACAGTTGAATTCTAGGGACTCTGAAGGGGGTATAAAATGGAGAGCCCCAAGAAGGTCTGTGGTGGCGGCTGCTCCCCCTGCTGCTGCTGGTTTGTCCTGCTGCTGTGTCTGCTGTTGCTGGACTGCGGATGTTCTGGTAGAACTGTTTGAGAAGGATTAGGAGGTGTGGCCTTGTTGTAGAAGGTGTGTCACTGGGGGTGGACTTTGAGGTTTCAAAAGCCTCCAGCCCCACCCCCCTGCCTTCTAATTATGGATCGACTTATGACCCTCAGCTGTTCCTGACACCATGCTTTTGTTCCATGGACTCTAACCCTCTGAAATTGTAAACACCTTCTAAGTTATCTATGTTGTGGTGTTTTGTTTTGTTTTGGTTTTTTTGTGGTGTTTTATTAAAGCAATACAAAAGTAACTAAGACACACAGGGACACACTAGACATTCTAAATTGTGTGTTAAACATTCACGGAAGCCTGGAGAATCCATCTG